TGGCCAGGGAGCAGGACGCTGCCCTGAGCCCTACCTGGAGCCAGGGGGGTCGTTCGGGAGCCGGTGGGCTGCCAGCGCTGACCCTGCGCAGCCGTGGGGAGAGCCCGGGGCGAGGGGCAGAGCCTGCGTGGTGGGAGGAAGGACGGAGGGATGAGTGAGCTCCACCACGGGCCGGGTGAGAAAGTGCTTCCAGTCTTCATTCAACGCAAGGAGGGACGGGACATGCCTTATTCACAGCAGGGGAAGAAGCAGAGGGTCTGGAACAGAGCCGCCCCGTGGGGCTGCTGTGGAGGGGGCCGGCAGGGGCAGCACCCAGGGTACAGTGCTCCTTGCAGCAAGACGTTTGCAGACAAGCACTGCCCGTCCTGCGCAATGCCTCCTGGCAAGGGGACAGAGCTGTGCCCCCCTGCCTTGGGGCACCCACCCAGCCCAGCAAGCCCCTGCCAGCGCAGTCTTTCCCGGCAGGAGCCAGGGAGGTGGCTGGGGTCAAAGAAACTAGAACACGAGAACAGACAACAGGATGCAATGAGAACACCAAACAAAACCTGCTACGGGAAGGAGGGGTGAGGGGACCGTGACTCGCGCCGCGAGGGCTGGCGCGGGGCAGGACTACTCGCAGCAGTAGGGACGCTACTCCTTGGCCCTGCCGATGATGGCCAGGATGTAGAGGAAGATGTTGATAATGTCTGTGTAGAGGTTGAGGGCAGCGAAGATGTACTCCTCGGGGCTGAGCGCCAGCTGCTTGTTCCCCAGGATCATCTGTGTGTCCACTGCCAGGAACTGCAAGAGAGGAGGCTGTCAGGCTGCGGTGGGTGCTGCGGGGCTGGCATGGGGCAGAGGGGAAGGCCAAGGACACCCCACGCCCAGCACGGGCGGCAGCAGCCCCACGAGTGGGTCACCACTCACCGCCTGGAGCACACCTACCCTCCCACCACAGCTCAGCTGGGCCCTGGTTCTGCACCACTTTCCCTTAGCCTGAACCCAAGGGGATCTCGCAGAGAGCTCAGCCCCCAGAGGAAGCGACAACAGCAGCCTTGATCCCATGCTCGTGGTGTCCCCCTCCAGGAAGCTGCTCCAGGAGGCAGGGCAGGACACAGCCTCCCTCCCTGCCACACAAACACTCACGCAGGTGAAGAGCAGGGCCCCCAGAGACGCATAGATAATGTCCATGATGCGGTTCCGGATGAAGATACAGAGGATGGAGAAGAGGATGAGCACGACGAGGCAGATGATGAGCACGCCTCGGCACGAGGTGAAGTCGTACTTGGTCTGTGCGATAGGGTCAGGGTTAGCAAGTCCACACATGGGTGGGGAGTCCCACAGGGCAGAGGAGAGCTGCCCTCATGTTGTCACCACCCTCCCGTCTGACCCAGGGCACAGGGCTAGTCGCTGCTTGCCAGGCAGCTCCTGGCCACCCTGTTCACAGGGGAGGTGCCGGCACAGCCAGATCTGGGACATCCCTCCCCCAACACAGCCATTTGCTCCCAGGAGCTCCTCTGCAGAACTGCTCTTCCAGGCGCAAACCCAGCAGCGGGAAGACCCTTCCCAGTGCAGCCCCCAGGGAAGCTGCCTTAGGAGTGCCCCGGCCCCCCGGGGGAGCCGGGAGAGCCTGTAGGCCCGCCTGCCCCCAGAGCTCACCTGCAGGGAGAAGATGACGACAGTGAAGCAGACGACGACCGTGATGCCCACGGCCATGATGACAGCATCCGTGTCGTAGAAGCTGGCGATCATCCCCACCATATAGGACAGGCTCACAGTCAGGATGGACTGCGGAGCAGACAGGCATCGGGTTAGTTCGGCTCGCTCAGCTCTACCCGCCCCCACCCCCTTTACGGCCTGGCGCTCCTCCGCGCGTCGTGCTCAGGGCCTGAATCCACTTGGGCCACTTCCTCCCTCAGAGCAGAGCTTGACCTGGTCATGCTGCACCTTCCCCATGGGGAAGGGTTTCAAATGCCCTCCTTGCGGGGCTCTCGGCTCCATCGTGTGCGGAGAGGGCGCTCCGCTCTCATCGGGTCAGACGCAGTCGTCTCCCCTCCCTTCCCGCCCGGGCACCCTCCGCTTCCCTGCGGGATCTCACGAGCAGACTGCGGGACCTCCGGAGAGGGCGCTCCGCTCTCATCGGGTCAGACGCAGTCGTCTCCCCTCCCTTCCCGCCCGGGCACCCTCCGCTTCCCTGCGGGATCTCACGAGCAGACTGCGGGACCTCGGGCTCCCCCGGGGCTCCTGGGGTGTGGGCGCCTGCGCCCTGCCTAGGAAGTGTGAGCAGGGGCAGCACAGGGACAGCACAGCGGTCCTCTGCCTCACGCTGCAAGCCTGCGGCGAGCAAGTCGCAGAGCGAGACAAGCGCAGCTGGAGCTGCCTCAGGGCGGGCTGTGCACGGAGCAGCTGAGCTCCGGGGCCCATTGGCAGCACTTACCAGCCCCGCAACAGCTGAGCAGGAAGAGGGAGATGAAGAAGACCGCGTAGGAGACGTAGTACGTCCAGACGTTGCGTTGCACAAAGCCCCTCACGCCTTTCACGAAGGTGAACACAG